TTTAGCATATGAGACATCAAGCTAATGGTGCGGTAATCGCTGCATTCTCTTGCGTTCTTTTTTAGGGAGTCAAATTAAAATCGATGTTAACCACTCTTTGAGTAATACGCCTGAACTATAAATTTGGTTCAAGAGTGTTACTAAAACCTGAATATGCTTCTCATCTAGAATTTTTTAGGATTTCTATAGGAAGCATGTCAGAACCAGGGTTTTTCCCACTATTCATTGTTTTTAATGCGTGTAATATTTCTTCTTTTGTTATATATGGACCTATTTCTTCCGACGTAAGTTTTATGTGCTCCAGATCTCCTCTTTCATCATCGAACAATTCGTCGATATATTATGCCCATCTTAGTATTTTCTCGTCCGTATGTGTTATAGTAGTCCCGTGTCTATCCAGAATTGCACAAGCAAGATTTTTTTTATTTAGTCCAGTTCAGTGTCAGTTCTTTAACTTTTTTGTGTATGTTAAACAGATCATATTTGTTTTGAAGGTCTTGGATCTCTTTGCATTGCTCTTCAAAGGATTTTTCTTTTGCCTGCTTTATCATCTTCTTAATCTCGTGGTTTATCTCTCTGTATTTATTGTTGTCCTTGTTTTTAAATTGTCTCCGTTGTTCCATCATATTGACTATCTCGTCATTCATCCATTCTTCTTTTCTCCTTGCGAAAGTCTTTAGTATTTCTTTACAGGGTTCCAGTAGACAATGTTTTAGCCGATCCCAGTACTCGTCAATATCATTGTTGTTTGTGTTCAGTTTGTTGCAGTTCATGTTGGAGGCATTCTTTTACTTTAGGTTCTTTAAGTTTTCTTGTGTCTATTGTAGAGATTCTTTGATGTCTTTTAATATTTTTAAGGGTGAATGTAATCTTGGCAATAAGTGGATTGTGATCTGAGGCCACGTCTGATCCAGGATATGCTTTCACGGCTTTAACAGCATTACGGTATATTTCATTGATCATAATGTAGTCTATCTGGTTCCTGACTACTTTCTCCGATGTATCTGCGGGCGATTGCCATGTATACAGTCGTCTGTTTGGTAACTTGAAAAATGTGTTTGTAATAATAAAGTTTTGCTCTTGACAGAATTGTAAAAGACGGTCTCCTCTCTCGTTTTGATCTCCCAGACCATAGTTTCCCATACACTTTCCGCTTTGTCCCTTTCCAATCTTTGCATTGAGATCACCTAGGACTATCGTGATATCTCTTGATTTCGTTATTTTAAGTGTCTCTTCGATATCTCGGTAAAATAATTCTACTTCTTCTTCGTCGGCATTCGACGTAGGAGCATAAACTTGTATTAAATTGAGTTTGGCATGAGATGTCACTAACTTCAGTACCATTACCCTTTCTGAGATAGGGAAATAGCATTCCACCACTCTATTAGATTTTTTATTAACTATTACTGCGACGCCGTGTCTGTGTTGGTTATTCTCGCTACCGGAATAATATATAGTGGCTTCGTCTGTTGAAAACCAACCTGAGTTGGGCCACCTGGCTTCACTGATACCGAGTACATCGATATTCAGCCTGTTCATTTCTTGAATAACATTGTGCATTTTACCAGACTGAAACATGCTCTGAACTTTCCAGGTTCCTATTCTAGTGTTGGACAGTTTTATTTTTTCATCTACGTTCTTTTGACAAGGATAACTGTAAGACGTAACTAGTGTTAATGACAAATTTTTTCGTCGCGTTCAAAAATACATTGAAAAAATTTTGCACAAACCTTATATATTTAATCTATTGTTGGTAGCGTTTAACAGCGATATTAAATAAGTAGTTTTAAATAAGCAAATTTTTTAAATTCGTTCGAAATGGAATAGGCGTTGAAATTGTTTCTATATATTTTTTTTAATTGGTAAATGTAGCGAGACTACTTATATTGGGCATTAAAGCGGGCCAGAAAATATTAAATAGTGGATATTAAAATGTGAAGAAGAAGACATATTTAGAACAAAAATTGAAGAAAAATCTCTTGGAAAAAAATATTATATATAATTGGGAGAAATATGGCTAATATTATTAGAGATATCACGAGTGATACACTTGAAATAACCTTAGAAAAGACGTTTGAGAATATTGAGACCTGGTAGTGGTCAAGGAGATCGAAGAAAAAATAAGAGAAAATGATGCAAAGAGTAGTAAAAAAACTAGAACGATCTTTAATATTAAAGATAAGGTTTCGAAGCTAAATTAATATAATATCAGTGGACGAAGAGGAAGTGAAAATTAATTGAATGAAACACTTTATTAATAGTAATAATAATAATACTTTATTTCCTTTTTGACAAATACAATTTGTATAGGATCAGTCACAGTTTAGAAAACAAAATTGCTAAATATAAATGTAAATCTAAAATTACGCTAAACCTAAGGTTACAAGACAAACACAAATAGAAAATGTAAAATTACTAGCATATACTTAAAATAATGTCAACTACTAAAATATTCATCAACAGAATAAAACGTATTCTGCAATAAAAAATCTTTTAAAGTTAATTTAAATATTTTCATATTCTTACATTTTTTTATTGGCTCGGGTAACTTATTATATATTCTTTGACCTATTATTGCAGGTGAGTAAAAATGCATATTTCCTTTAGAAAAAGGCACATGCAATTTTTGATTCTGTCTTGTATTTTTATTGTGAATTTGACTATTGGTTTTAAATTTATTAAGATTTAAATGAATAAAAACACAGATTTCAAAAATATATAAGCATGGCACAGTTAAAAGTTTATATCTAGTAAAATAACTCTTACAGCTAGTTATTCGAGAAATACCAGCAATACAACGGACTATTCTTTTTTGAGATAGAAAGACTTCACTGAATTTACAAGACGTACCCCAAAATACTATGCCATACCGCAAACGAGACTCCACCTGAGCATAATACAGCATAATTAGCTGTTTTTCACTTAGTGTATCTTTGAGGTTTCGAAGTAGGTAGCATGCCGAGTTTATTTTGGAAATAATATCATCACCTTGCCTTTTCCAATTGAGACACTCATCAACATACAAACCCAAAAACTTAAGGCATTGAACTTTTTCAATTTGTGCAGAATATATTGATAGTTCGATATCTAACAGATGTTTCTGTCTATTGTGGAAGTGAATAGCATGCGTTTTATCCGCATTAAGATGTAAGTAATTTGAGGAAAACCAATAACTAAGATCACACAAAAGTTCGTTACATTTATTTTCAAGAGATATTTGTGATTTATCTGATATAAGTATTGAAGTATCATCTGCATAAAGTGTAAACTGTACAGCAGAATTTATTGAGACAATATCGTTTAAGTAAATAAGAAATAATATTGGGCCAATTACAGAACCTTGCGGAACACCCATATTAATGTAAATATAATCTGATTTGCAAACATTTTCTGAGTGCTGGGATAAATCTGTTAAGGAGACATACTGACGACGTTCTGATAGGTAGGATTCTATCCATTTTAGAGAGAGATCTTTTATTCCAATATTTTCTAATTTATTAATGAGTAAGGTATGATCGACACAGTCAAATGCCCTACTGAGATCACAAAAAATTCCGACAGGGCATTCATCCGCATCAATATAGTTAGTTAAAGTCTCATAAAATGAATGAACTGCTGTGTTTGTAGACTTACCTGCCTGGAAGCCATGCTGACATTTACTAATAATACCGTTCTCCAATAAATAAGAGTTTAATCTGTTAAGATAACAGTATTCGAATATTTTCGAAAATACTGAGGGGACAGTTATTGGGCGATAATTACTAATATCCTTTGGTCACCTTTCTTATGCACAGGAACGACTTTTCCCACCTTTAGATAATCCGGGAAAATACCATTGCAAAAAGTCAAGTTTATTAGAAATGTTAAAGGTGATAGTATGAATGGAATTACTTTTTTTAATAAAAATTGAGGTATTTCATCAAATCCACACGATTTTGAAGATTTCAATTTTCCTATCAATAATTCACTCAGCTCATTTGGAGTGTAAGGATATAATTGTAAAAAAATTTTATTTTCATTATAAGGCGGAGTCCTCAAAGTACTATTTTGATGACTGGGAATTTTAGAACGTACCTCAATTGGAGCATTTTTAAAGAAAACATTGAACATGTTAGCAACAATAGGGCATTCCTCTATTACACAATTTTCTGCTGATTTTAGGCATATATTTTTCCTTCCATTATTGTAAACATTATTAGTCATGTCAGCAACAAGTCTCCAGGCACTTTTTGTAGGATTATCTGATGACGAAATAATTATTAATTAATATTATTTCGTCTTAATATTAATTAATATTAGTTTATTAAAGGAAGAATTGGGCCAAAAAGTTGGTAAAATAAGATAATCAAAATAAAAATGAGTAAAAAATGATATACTTAGACAAATCTTGGCAGCCTTAGAAGATATTGCATATTTGTTTAATGGAATTATAGAAGTGGGGTAAATACCAAATGAATGGAGGAACCGGATGTTACACATGTGTGCAAAACCTATGAGGATATTCAACAACGTACAAATTATATAATACTTATATAGAAAAGAATATTCTAGGTAACGTAATCCATTTTCTGATAATTGGACAATAAACGGTCCAAAGCACCGTGGAGCTAGTCTAATAAGCACACCCACTATCGATAGATGTGCGACTTCCATTCAATAAAATATTCTTTGAAACGTATGGATGCCCAAGCAGTATTGGAAAAGGAATGTTAATGTGACTAGGCTAATTTACTTCTCATGAACGAATATTTTCTCTGTCTCCGTCGGTGTTCAAGGTTCAGCAATTGAAGTTATTTTGCATTTTCATTAATCTAAGGTAAGCAAATATGAAGAAGAAAGATCAAGTTGAGGATGTCCCATATTCTCGGTTTTTTATTATACAAATCCCAGTTTAATTTCCAATGCTTAAACCCATAATTGAATAAAGTGATTAAGTTGCAGTGATCCTTGGACACATAATATTAACCAAAATATATAGACTGAACATGACATTGACTACAATGGAATACATCACAAATACTGCTGGGGCAGACATGGATCAGACTCAGAATGGAAAAGTTTTAATCGATCCTCAGCATGATCCAAATGCAGTTGTACAAGATACAGAAATGGAAGAAGATGAAGCTCGTTCTGATGCAACATTCAAGTTTACTGTACACAATTTTAGTAAGCTCAAGGACTCTGTACTCTCTCCTCCTTGTTTTATGAGAGACCTACCCTGGAAGATAATAGTAATGTCTCGTAACAGTCATTCTCAAGATGCTAGGTCTGATAGACCAGCCTAAAGATCCTTGGGTTTCTTCTTGTAGTGTAATGGAGAAAGTGAATCCAGTTCTTGGTCATGTTATGCAGTTGCGGAGTTAAGAATGCTTTCAGTTAAACCAGAAATAAAGAATTTTACTAGGAAAATTTAGCATTTGTTCTATTCAAAGGAAAATGATTGGGGATTTTCACATTTTATGTCATGGAATGATGTGTTGGATCCAAAAAAAGGCTTCATCAAATGTGATGCGACTACATTGGCAGTTCAGGTTGTAGCAGATGTACCTAATGGAGTGTCCTGGGATAGTAAAAAGCACACATGATATGTTGGTTTGAAAAACCAAGGTGCAACTTGTTACATGAATTCCTTACTCCAAACTCTCTACTTTACCAATCAGCTGAGAAATGCTGTCTATAAAATGCCCACAGAATCTGATGATTCCACAAAATCAATAGCTTTAGCATTACAAATAGTTTTCCATGAACTACAGTTCTGTGATAAACCTATAGGTACTAAGAAGCTTACAAAAAGTTTTGGCTACGAAACTTTGGACTTTTTTATGCAACATGATGTTCAGGAATTTTTAAGGGTTCCATTAGATAAGTTAGAAAGCAAAATGAAGGGTACTTGTGTAGAAGGAACTGTGCCCAAATTGTTTGAAGGGAAAATGATCTCGTATATAAGATGTAAAAATGTTGATTATTCCAGTATTAGATCAGAAACTTTCTATGATATACAGTTCAATATTAAAAGAAAAAAGAACATCGATGAATCCTTTAAAGACTACATAGCCAAAGAGACCTTAGATGGTGATAACAGATATGATGCGTCATCTTCAAATAATTCCCCCCAGTATTGCATCTATACCTAATGAGGTTGCAGATATGAATTCTATGAAAAACTCTCGTTGGACTCCTATCTCCAGGAACCTGATCCCAACAACTCTGCCAAATATACTTTGCACGCAGTTCTTGTACATAGCGGTGATAATCACGGAGGAAATGATGTTGTTTTTATTAATCCGAAAGGTGATGGTAAATGGTGTAAATTCGATGATGAAGTCATTTCAAGATATACTAAACAAGAAGCATCTGAGCACAATTTTGGTGGACATGATGAGGACAGGAATATGACAGTAAAACACTGCACTAATGCCTACATGTTGGTGTATATAAGGGATTCACAAATGACCAAAGTATTACAAGATGTGACAGATGCAGACATTCCGACAGAACTGGCTGATCGCTTGGCAAAAGAAAAGCGAATGGAGCAGGTAAGGCGTAAAGAACGTAATGAAGCCCATCTGTACATGACGATAAATGTTCTTTTCGAGGATACGTTCGATGGCCATCAAGGTAACGACCTTTACGATCAAGAAAGGGCTCTTTTTAAGGAGTTCAAAATCAAAGCTATTTAAGCTATTTACAGGTTACGAGTAAGTTAGTGGATATTGTACCGTTGTTAAACGAAAGAGCTGGATTTCCGTCAGATACTGAACTGTTACTGTATGAGGAAATACGACCGAATATGATAGAAAAAGAGCTGGATTTCCGTCAGATACTGAACTGTTACTGTATGAGGAAATACGACCGAATATGATAGAAAAAATTACAAATTTTAATGATCCTTTAAAAAATGTATTAGAAGAATTAATGGACGGTGATATATTAGTGTTTGAAAATGAAGAAAGAGAGGAACTTTCCGAGGTTCTGACAGGTATAGATTATTTCAAAGATTTGTATTGTAGCGTTGAAGTGACTTGTAGACAAATGCATACCCAACGATCAGGGATTCACAATGGAGCTATCACAGAGAATGACATACGATCAGTTCACCAGAGGGTAGGAACCGATCCCTATTTGTTACAATTCTTTGAATGTCAAAGTTATAAAGATAGTCCTGGTTACCCGTTGAGGTGTACATTCGAAGGCACTCTCAAAAACCTATTAGTGTATTCAAAGCCAAAAGTCCCAAAGAAAATATTTTATCAGCAACGAATATTTTACTGTAAACAGAACGATGATGTTGATATACCCTACTGTGGCTATGTTCTTATTTTTCATGTAAGAATTTTTTAAAAGGCGTGAACTAATACAGAGGAAAACCATAATGTGAATAGATCCTTAAGTTTATCGACTCATATTGTTAAAATTGGAATTTTTTATTAAGTTGATGAAAAATATAGTCTCTTAAATTAACTTATTCATGTTCCATAATTTCAAGTGACCTAATTTAACATTGTTGGTTTATGTAACGAATATTCTCAGTTTCTGAATTTAGGTTGTCTATATTTTTAGTCAAAGCGTGTAAGTCAAATTATTTAATTAAGAATTCTCAACGCTGCTGGAAGAAAGTCAGTATCGATTTTCAATTTTGTCGAGTTTGTTTACAGCAAACTAATTACCAGACGTGACTAACTCTGGTCTATAAAAATTGCATTATTTTGGAGAAAATATTTTGCCCAAAATAAAATATTAGTTTACATTTTTTTTAGTTTTTTCTTTTTATTGTTCTTACAATTTACACGTACTACAAAATGTTTTGTTTAGATTAGTACTTTTATATAAGTATTATGTCTAATTTTACCCCGATTGTCTAACTTCGCTGTTAGACCAAAAAATTAGCAAATAAAAAGCCTTTTTCGTGATATTCTTTGATACAATTATCTAACAACTGCTTTTGACAAATTTGGTAACAACAATATGTAATCAACAAAATATTCAAAAGATTAACGTAAACTATATGGAAAAGTGACACAGTTTTACTGAAAATTAAAGAAAATTCTTGAGAAATTGGGTCTGAGTGTGGGGACAGTGAGAACTTTTGATCAGTATGACCAAAGCTAGGGAGAGGGGGATAAAATGATCCCCTAAAAAAAATTACAAAATTATTTTAATATTGCATTTTAATAGAGTAAACCCCTAAAAGAGTAATTAATCTTAAAAAACCCAAAATTTTTTTGGAAAAATCTTTATTCACTTAAAAAAAAAACAAAAAATAAAAAAATAGCAACTTGATCATTTTACCCGCAATTTATTTCATTGAATTTAAAGCAATACTGAGTAATTTAAAATTAATTTTATTCGGCTAGTTTTTTTAAATTGTAGTGTTTAATAAAAACATACTCGTATAGTGCTCAAAAATGTGTTAGCGTCCCCTATGGGGACTGGAATTGACTCAAGGACGATTTTAAGTGCCTCTAACAATATTGTTAGGTCATCTGAAGTAATGGAGCCTGAAGAAAACGTGGTACCGTTAAAAAATAGAGGATTTAACGTAAATTCAGATAAGTATAATCTTGAAAATATTTTTGTGTATATTGAAAGGATAGATAACACCGATCTTGGTCGCTTACATCCAATTACAATAGGTCATATTTTGTACAAAAAACTAGGAATTTCTAATATAATTCAAGTAAGGGCAATTGGTAGAAACAGAATTAAGGTAGTAGTAGCTTCTATACATGATGCAAATAATCTTATACATAATAGTACACTAAAGGAAGAAATTTTAAAAGCCTTTATTCCCGGTCACTTATTAGAAACCAAGGGTTTAATTCGGGATATTGATACTCAATTTGATACTGTATATTTACAGGAAAATATTGAATCTCCTTCACGTATATTAAATATTAAACGTATGAATAGAAAAGTTGAAAAAAATGGTACAATTGAGTATGTTGTAAAACGAACTGTTATTGTAGCTTTTGAAGGTAATATACTGCCTCAGTATGTTATTATAAATCGAGTTTTTTGTCCAGTCGAACAATTTGTAGGTAGGGTTACTCAGTGTTACAGGTGTTTGAGATACGGTCACATTTCAAAACAGTGTAGAAGTTCTCAAAATCTATGTATTTGATGTGGAGAGAATAAAGACGAAAATCATTCTTGCGAAAATTCAGACATTAGTTGCATTCATTCTAAGAGTACTGCACATGTTTCGGTTTCAAAAAGTTGTCCTTATCAAAAACAACAAAAAACTAAAAATATTATGATTAAAAATCAAATTTCCTTTATCGAAGCCAAGGAAATTAATGAAAACTCGTATTCAGAGGCCCTAGGCCAAAATAAGTTTTCAATTTTATCGAACTACGATAAAAATTTTCCTAATATTTCACAAAATAAAATGTCCCTAACATCTGCGCAATCTACTTCTAATGCAGCTATGAGTACCAATTTTAATCCAACTTTTCGCCAAAACTCGAACAATTACTCAGTTCCTAACAAAAAGAGGAAAGCCAATTCTTCTCCTACTGTATCTTCTAACTCTGTTCAGCCACCTCCCATGTTTAACTTAAGATTTGGACCATCTCAACCTCTAACTGCTAATCCACCCCGTTTCACTTCTCACAGTGGAGAAAGGGAGAACCAAGATATTGCTCGATTAGTTTTTTAAAAAAATATACGTACATTGGACGATTTGAAATCTTTAGATAATGAAATAATAAATCATGAAATTACTTCTGTATTGGAGGGTACAAAAAAGGCTACATAATTTTCTCTCTCTTAAATAGATTAATAATCATGCAATGGAATTGTAGATCTGCTGTCGCCAACAAAAACAGTTTAACACATGTTTTAAATGAAAATGATATTGATGTTGCCTTGTTGAGTGAGACATGGTTTAAACCCGATAAACAATATAACTTTAAGGGTTATAAGATTATTCGTCGCGACCGATATGACGGTTACGCGGGAGTGGCTATACTTATAAAATCAATTCTTCTTTTTCAAGAAATTTGTATTACACAAAATTTTAATGACGATATACTTGTTTGTGGAATCACTTTAAAATTTAATAACTCTGATATTAATTTTGCTTCAATTTATAGACCTCCAGATATTCGATCGACTTCCAAAGATTGCTGTAAAATTTTTGAACAATTTAATTTTCTTTGCATTATAGGTTGGGATATGAATGCGCATAATAGTTTGTGGGGTTCACTTAAGAATGATGGCATTGGGCACCAACTTATTAATGCCATTGATACTCTTGATTTAGTTACTCTTAATAATGGCAAAGCAACCTGTCTGACCCGCCCGGATGTGAAACAATCTAGTGTTGATATTACGTTGTGCTCTCCTGATTTAGCAAAAGAAATTACTTGGGACGTCTTGGATGACACATTGAAATCGAATCATTATGTAGTTCACATGCATTTTTCTTCTGTTATTTCTTGTAATGAATACATTCTTCCAAAGTCCAAATGGAATGTTAATAAAGCTAATTGGACCCAATATTCTGATCTAATTGAACAAAACTTTCTTAACTATTCGGACAGCTTGTCTACCTCAGAGAAATATGAGTTCCTAATGGAAGGTATTAATAATGCATTTTCTCAATCCATTCCGACATATAAACCTTTAAAATTATTAAACGACCACCTCCTCCGTGGTGGGATTTCGAATGTGAACAAGTTGTTTCTAACAGGAAAGATGCTTTAAAAACATATAAAAATAACTCTAGTTTCACTAATTACATACGATGTCAGGAAGTAATGGCAAAAATAAAAAAAGTTCTAAAACGAAAAGCCAAAGAAAGTTGGAAAAACTGGTGTTCATCATTAAATAAAAATATGCCTATTAAAAATGTGTGGAATGAAGCAAGGAAAATACAAAGGAAGTATACTCCAAGTATTAATCATTTTAATGATGAACTGATTGAAGTATTTTTTGACAAAATAGCACCTCCATCAGTTAACACTGCTATAGAAATTCAAAATAATACTACAACTTCAAGTCACTTTCTTCTAAATCCATTTACAAGGGAAGAACTTGACTTTGCGCTAACTAATAGGTCTAACACCGCTCCGGGCTACGATGATATTAAATATCCTATGCTTAAAAAACTTCCCAATATAGCGAAAAACGTATTACTTGATATTTTTAATGATATTCTTTTTAAAGGTGCAGAAATTGATGTATTGATGTATTGATGTATAACTGTTATTGTCATAGCAATCCTTAAACCAAATAAAGATCCCAACTTGGTACAATCATATAGGCGAATCTCTTTGATATCGCGTATTTTGAAAACTTTGGAAAGAATTATCAAAGTTAGACTAGAATGGTGGATAACTTATAATAAATTAGCTTGTCAAAATCAGTTCTCTTTTAGAAAAGGGGTTGGTTCCCTTGCTCTTAGTACTCTCGTGATAGACATAAACAATAATTTTGGCACAAACAATTACCTTTCTGCGCTTCTTATAGACGTAGAAAGTGCGTATGATAATATATGCCTATCCATTTTAAGAGATAAGATGTTGAAATTATTTCATATTCCAAATCAGGTAATCAACATGATTATTAAATTCTACACTAATAGAAAAATATTTTTAAGAAATTTTGATAACACAATTGTAGGTCCAAGAAATAACAACAACGGACTTCCACAAGGCTCAGTTTTAAGCCCTTTTCTCTTTAATTTGTATACTGCTGACTTACATCAATTAAGTTTTAATCACATTCCGTTTAAAATAGTACAGTATGCAGATGACCTCTGCATATATACTGAAAATAAGAAATTTAATACCACTATGGCTTCTCTCAAAGACATCTTTGGTGTTGTTTATGAACGGTTAATATTAAATGGATTTCAGATTTCCTACTCCAAGTCTGAAGTTTGTGTTTTCAGTAGACACAACATACCTAAATTAAGTTACATTGTCCTAGGTTCATATAATTTTTCCATTAAAGACTCCGTTAAATATCTTGGCATGGTACTTGATAGGAAATTGACATGGAAAATGCATATTAATTACATGTTAGACCGATGTATAAAGGGTTTAAATTTTTTTTAAATGATTACTAAGACTTGGTGGGGAGCTGGCGTTGAAACCGCCTTACTATTCTATCGTGCCTATATCAGGTCCGTATTGGATTATGGATGTATCTTGTACGGCTCTGCTAGTTTACAGATTTTAAACAAAATAGATATCTTGCAGAACTCAGTCCTACGTGTATGTCTTCATGTAGAAGCTATTGAGTCTCACTTAAATCACAGAAGGTAGTTCCTGGCAGACAAATTTCTTCTCAAAATATCCAGAACCAACAGTAATCTATAT